GAAATTAAATAAAAAACAAATTTATATACATAATACGATCGGTTGGGTTGTGTTGTAAAGTTTCTCTATACAATGCTAATTAAAGAGCAGAACACGGTTCAGGAATTTAAAAATTCTTTCCGAATACATCAGTCAGTCCGGAAATATGTCGGGGGCTACTGACGGATTCCAGTTTCAACTCCCGCTACATATTTCCCTCTATAACGCGTGTATAATGCTGTTTATCACGCATTCTTTAGAAACTTTTACAATAAATTTCTAGCCTCACATCTGGCTTCGAATCCTATATAGTTTGCAAAATGTTATTTAGGGTTAAAGCTGTGTTCACGTTAGCTTTGCTTTACATTCGCTGCAAAGTAGAGCAAGAGGAAACCCATTATTCTAAGGAACTCTCTAAACACTCAGTAAGTTACCATAATTGCGATTTTCTCTTCTTCTAACGTGCAATGGGTTGTCATAATTTAATTCTTCTCTTCTGCGAGCTTGTCTCTTCTGTTGTCAGTTGTCCAGTTAAGCTGAGTAATAAACGAGAAAAGTCGCTACTAGAAAACTAATTTCTTTACGTTCAAGAGCTAGGGAGAAGGAAAAGAGAAAGTTTGGTGCAACATTGGGATGGAGTCCCTTGCTAAGGAAAATGGATCCAATTATTGCATAATTCATATCGTCTAAAAGGTGAACTCACGTAAACTGCTGTATAAGTAAACTCAACAAACGCCTGGAGAACACGTGAGCCCTCACCTATGGGATAAAAATAGCATGAAACTGCTAAATGACTATTAAACACGTTGAGAAGGCGAGGGTCTGCCACCTTAATAGACATATCCTCCGATCTTAATTTGAAGTTCTAAGTAACGCAACAACACGGAAGAGCTCAAGTGAAAAAAGTGGCTTTTGTCGCAAGCTACATTTACAGAGTAAAAGTTGGTTTGGACCAGTGAGATACTATGGTGGATGGATAGAATATCGCACAAAGTAGCAATCACTTGATTGCTTTTATAATTTATTGTTAAATAATAAGGAAAATATTTTTCTGGAAAAACGTAGAACAAGCCACTTCTGCACACAACTATACATACTTCATATGTGGAAAGAGAATCGGCCTAAAGGGTTTGGAAAATAATTATAATACGATGGGAAAATTATTAGAGAAACGAAGAAAATGTTCAGACTTCTTGAGTGCACTTTTGAACAGGGCTTGGATTAAAACCGAGGACGTGATCATTACGTAAATAAACAGAGTAGTGGGATTACGTAGACGGGCATACGGTCAAAAACACACTTAAATAGAAAATTGAAAAAGACGCTTTTAGGGTAAACAGCTCGAAAGGAGGATCAAGTGACTTTAATCGCAAGCATAAGTTCACAAAAGGGAACATATTCATGCCAAATCCCGTTCTTCCTATACTGTACTTCCATCCTTCCCATGCATAACGGAATCTTAATCACATTCCGTTTTCCTGCATTCAACTGAACGACACATATATGCCAACGCTACCCTAATCGCTAACATCCCTCTCCAAAAATTTCTTTTCGTAAACTTGATTTTTAATTTTCTATTCTTATCAAGACAAAGGTCATTAGAACAGATGATTGCAAAGTAATTGAGTTTAGAGCAGATCCACGGACCTATACTTCAATAAGAGATTAGAGATTGAATTATTCTTTCACACAACAATACTAACAACACTAACTGCATTCGTTCGTTCGTCAACTTTTATGATTGGATTATTTAGATACCTCTTCAAATGACAATAATAGTAGGTCTTCCTCGGCAATTAGGTTATCGAAGTGATCCAAAATATATTTATGGCTGACATCCTGCAAGTGTCCGCAAGAATGCATACCTGAAAAAGAATAAAAGCTTTTTAGTTGAGCCAAATCTGCGAGAATTCCATCCTACTCTTACCAGCGATTTTTCGCACTCGAAAACAATTGTTTCGGTTCAAGTTGTTCTTGAGAAATTTGATACATTCCTCTTTCACCCAAACGATCTGAAATAAGTCCGATGCAGATAGTACCGCTTCGACGTTTGCTTCTGCAAGCGTGATGATCCCGCTGTAAACGTAATCATCGAGTGCCTTGACGGCGACTACGTCCACATCCTGCAGCTTGACAGTCCCTTCCTTCCTCTCCTTCATATCAGCTATAAAAGCAAATATTCAAAGGTTTTACTTAAGCCCGATTTGACAGTTTCCGGGAATCACTTACCTTCAAACATCGCGGCGAAGTAATCAGAGGCAATCGCGAGTGCAAGTTTATGCACGTAGATGAGCTCACCATCTACGTCCAGAGAAAAATCAAAGAGCTGTAGGATAGAGTGATGAAGTTAGTTTTAACGAGTGCCGAATTAAATAGTTGTCCGCTTACCTTCTGATTGATACGCATTTTGGTCAATCCGTGGAGGTAAGTCTTCCCATAATCGAGGTTTTCGCATTTTTTCGGGGAGATGCGTTCCACTTCATTCACAAATTTAGCGTCCATACCGTTGGATAAATACTGAAAGAGACTAAAATAAAAACTATTAACATATTGTAAGCAATATTCCGCGTCTCATAAGTCGCGCATAGATTTCAACGCACAAATCTAGAAACTAATGGACGGATGCAAGTTCGTTATGAATTATCATTATTAGCTACCATAACCCGCACATACGTCGCGATACATTAGCGTTGAACACAAAAACTTTCAATACAAAACTACTCGTGTATGCACACCAAACGCTATACGATGTGCGACGTATAACCTACTAGATGATCAAAGAATTGTCTATGCCCTGTAGAACTTCGCTAATAGTTCAATCTTTGTTTTAGAAACATACGTCCTCTTAAACTATAACGACACATAAACATAAAATCGTATCAAAGTTTTTTCATACGCACCTCTTAAATTGGTTTTGTTATCCTAACAAATGATGATCTGAATTGAGTTCTGTTCAGTATCTTTTCTTTCAACAAACACGGATTTCTTAAAAATCGCTCTTCTTTAAAAGCAAATTTTACTGTTAAAATAGAATGGATTGTCACGTGTATAATCAACTGAATAATGACAAAGTAGATCAAACTTTCTTCTCTCCTTTTATGGTAATGTTGCCATATTCTTCACTATCAGTCATCACAAACCTTGTTGAAAAGATGACGGCAAAAAGTTCAAAGAGATAAGAAATATAAATAAAGGCGTGCAACATAAGGAACAAATTTTAGTTTGATCCGGATTTTTATCTTCTGATTAGTTTTTAGTTATAGGATTCCAGGGTTGTCGCTTCTCAATCAATGTATTGCAAAAATTGGGAGAATATACAGAAGAGCCTACATTGTGAACACCTATCGCCAGATCCACAAGAATATACAATTATATTTTCCGCTTTTGTGTCACTTTGAGTGATTTATGGAGAATGGAGAAGATCTGCCTGAACTCCATGATAAGTGCAGGTAGCGCTAATCTATTCTCGACAGTCATCGAATAATCTCTTCAACTACAGGTTTGAAGTTTTCCAATTAATGTAAAGAACAACACTCTCAATAATAAAATCTTCATTACAATCGTCCAGTTTCCTTAAGAACAACTCTTCACGCTCTTAATGTGTACCACTCCATATAGATTAACACAAAAGTTCATATCGTTGGAGATAAATTGTGCCAGTAATATTCTCGGCATATGCTACAATATAAAAAATTGAGATAAAGAAATCGAAATTCGGAAGAACTTAGAAAGAATTAAAGAAACAGAAGGAAAGGAAGAAATAGGGAGGTAGTGACTGCAGCTTAGTGGATATATGCCCAATCGATAAGTGTTACGCCTTTACCGGCTGAGTCCTGATTCTAACTTCGACCAACCTAGACACTATAGCAATCGAGATTTGAACCCACATATAGTGTAAATGTTATTGTAGTAGGGCATCTCTCCATTAGTCTTTCAACTGTAGATTTCGGTTTTGCTTTCGCCTTCTTTTCTAACAACCTTTTCTGTTTTTCATATGGTCGGCGTTTTGTTTTCATCAATAAAGTGCAAGCTTTGCATCATTCCAGATAAATTATAGACAACTCACAATACAAATCAGTATATAGAACGCGACGAAAACACAATCACTTTGTTTGGTTTCAACTTACAAATGTTTTCTCTTACAATTGCACCTCTAAATACACCAATGCTAACGCTAAACGTGATCCTGCAGTTGTGTTGTGCATACATAAAGGAGAAAATTCGAAAGTGAAACCTGGTTATTGTCGCACATAATTTGTGCCTTGTTTTACTTACAATTATTGATTATATTGAAGGCGCCATCGACCGAAAATAATGCTGACAATGTGATCATTCAGGTAACTACATCTTCGTTGTTATCGAGTAACGGAAAGTATAATTTTGGAAATTTCCAAAATTTTACGAGAATGAGAAAAGAAAACTGCAGAATTCCACGCGTCTCTCTTGCAGACACACACTCTATAGACTTTTGTAATAATGGGTCGAATATCGTTATTAAGAAGAATTCTTTTTTCTTCAATTCTTCTTCTCCATTACCTCAAGAAGCTTTAACATGTTCTGCAAAATTAGAACTAATAAAGTTGTAGGAACCTTTGGTGCTTTCGTTATCAACAGCAACAGTAACAATAGTAATTAACAGCCATTTGACTGCTTGCCCTTTTTTTCTCATTATTTGGGTAAACAGTAATTTTGTTAAATTGTGTCACTCTATCGAACTTGTATGAAGCAATAGCATCTGTGCTTCTGTGCTTTCTACGATGTACCTACGTGAACGTCTCCATCCTTACCATGATTAACTCGTACCATGCTGAAACGACGCCCGCCTCGGCTATGCCATGTGAAACAAAGGAACCCGGTATGTGTGTATTTATTAAAAATCCAGAAACTAGCTACGGCGAAGGTCTTTGATGTTGGGTATTCCGCTGACTCTCACTCTACGTAGTAAATACAACTTCATATTAAAGAATTCTACGTTTTTTCTTAGCGAAATTTTTCAAAAAATTGCAGTGAAATTCAGTGAATTCCAGTGAAAATTCACTAATAAAGACGTTTTCGGACACAATGAGGTTTTAATTATTATTTTGTCGTAAAACTCAATGCTATTACCTATCGATGCAATTTCGTAGGCAATCATCAAAAATAAATGTCTTTACCTTATTTACTTTATATTTTCAACTCAAATACGATAGTTTTCAAGTAAATACAGTTTCTTCCGATCAAGCTTAAGCACAGAAAGTAATATAATGAAGATTTTAATGAGCTAATAATCACATTTGGTTATAAAAAAAATATAATCGGGCGAGCCCGACCTTTAGATACTCTACACCACGTCACGTACTTTAGCTTGTCGCTCGTTTTGTAATAAGATACCACAATTCACACACGATTTTCATGCAAAGGCATACTTTTCAAAAAAGCCCATCTATCGGAGCGTGCCCAAAACATCACAGGGTGTGATCTCAATTTAGCAAAAATTCCGTCATAAACAACAGCAAAACAGATTTTTTCTCACGATAACACTTATATTTGAAAGGGTCTAACCCTCCCACTGTTTATTTTTTTGCTAAATTGCGAGTATAAACCAATTTTTTCTTTCTTTTTCTTTTCCTGAAGGGCTTACTATTCATGAGGAATCTTATATGAGGTGGGATCTAAGAAATAAACCCATTTGATTAAAATTTGGTTCAGCTAATTTTTACGTCAGATTACTAACATAAAAAAATATTCATCATAAACGACTAAAAATTAAGCCTTTTTGGCATGTAAGAATATACATTTCCTAAGAATCCTTACATGTAGCGGTATCCTAAAATTTGAGCTACGTGGCCCAAATTCTGTAGCGTTTATGTCTTCGTCAATTTACTCTTATGAACCAATCTTCACCGTGAAATATTGAAAATTAGATCTTTTTGACATACAAAGATTTACCCTTCGGAGGAACGGTTAAGTGCATTCAAAAATTTGCCACAGGCGAACCGTTCTTTTCGGTTTGTTTTCTTGCTGGTACTTGTGCAACAGAACAATCTTGTACAGATTCAGACATTCTGATCCAAAGTGCACTACGTTTCACAA